GCAAGTTCGAAAACAACATATTTGATTTGCTCGTCTGACAATACCAACGGACCCTCCGGGACTGGTTTATTCCTCCGAGGCATGGCCAGTGAGACGCTGAGCAGAGCGGCGGTTCTTGAGATGCATCAGAAGGCAGGGTGCATCAGAGCAGAGTGGTGCCACCGCATTTCAACCAGTGAAGAGCCCGCATTTCAACCAGTGAAGAGCCCCGTCTCAGAATATTAGGTAGCACCTTTCATGTTTCAAGGGATCCAACAAGAAATCACATGTGTCTTGTGCCTATTTTCACAGGCAAGCTTTGTGAAATGCCGAGGTCCAAGAGATCCTGGGAATCTTGGAGCAGGATTTGAGAGCCATAGGCCTGGAGTCAAGTTCGGAGGTTTGCCAACCCCGAAACAGGCACCCACCAAAAGGCCCTATGGGTATAAGCCCCAAGGCCTATCCGAGGATATGTTTGCTCCCATTCACACCACGTTCTAGCAGGCCGCACATATGAAGGGAATACGCCGGACAAGGGGCGTGGTGGGGATTCGTCCCTTCACAATTGCATGAAGATCCCACCCTGGCCGGGAAGTGTTCCTGTTGCAGATGAGGGTGGACCACCATGGCGAGGCATTAGATATTGGGAGAGCATGGGACCACACATCAAATTCCTTAAAAAGGCCAAGCAGACACGTTTGGCTTTGTAAAAAAGCTAGCTTCAGCTGGCCTCGGAAGGTGGGATACAGAAAGAATCCCAAATCCAATGCCCTTACCTGGCACACTGGTATTCGGGCCTCGACTTGCACGTAGTTGTGTCTTGTAAGTTTTGGCCATAGTTATTGCTATGGCAGCATGTGTGACCGAAAACCCGTGACGAAGGTTCGTTTTGCTTGAGAAAGTAGGCAGGATGATCCACTTCGGGGTCAAACAAATCGGTGGTTTTCAAAGTTCAATGATTATTTGACTGTTTGAATCTTCAGTCATTGTGAAGACTTGAATTGTTGTCACTTTCCTATCAAGAGAAGCGGTTGTAGAATCTGTGGATCCTGTGGATCATGTGCAATTTTGCCAGGCAACTTGGGGGACTTCTTCTGTGGGACTTTGAGTCTGGTGGACGTCTTCTGGCACAGCTCGCTGCTCAGACTCTTTGAGCTGGGCTTCGATGGATGGTTCTCGAAGGAGCGGCGCTGGGCTGCTGATGTGAGTCACTGAAAACGCTGACATGTTCTCTTTTTTTCCGGGTTGTTTTTGTGGTCGGATTGAAGGGACACCAAAGGGAAACCAGCAACTTTTGGGGTTCCGGGAATCACGAGATGTTGCAGGTATTGCCGAATGCAAGATCTTGTCTTTGGCCATGCAAGGCGTCAGAACTATGCCTGAAAGTATCTGCTTGTTGGCTTTCAGACATCGGGGCAAGGCAGTCGATGTTCAAGCCATGCGGGTATGTTTCAATCGGGAGTTCTCCGTACACTGAGAAAGGGAGCCCCAAAGTGAATTAATTAATTAAGGCACCCATGTATGAATTGGTTGATTTCTGTTGAACGGATGGCAGGACAGGCTGCCACGTGTGCATGCGCAGCTTTGGCAGCAGCGGGGAGGTCGCTCGGAACTGTCACCCGACTGCGCGAAGGCTTGTTGGACCTAAGCCTGGAAAGGCCACCCGTGGCTAGCCTCTTGTGTTAATGTTGCGGAGAACCCCCTCTGCAAGTTCCGCTAGTCTGAACACCATAACCATGTGGCCATGGGTCAAAAGCCCATACCCCCAGTGAACATCCCAATCCCCACTAAAATAGACTAAAATGGGAGGTGCACCTACCCCAAAATGGTACCATTGGTTTTGACCTACAGCCATGTTCCTGAGCAAAGTCAACTTGAAGCTTGACGTTCCGAGGCGCTGTTTTTCTGGCTGATTGGCTGCTCCTTTGGGAATATTCAGCTGCCGGTGTGCTTCAACTGCCAAACACAGACCTTGTAAGTGTTTGGGGAATCCAAACTACAGGAGACGAGAAGTGGCAAGTCCATTTTCAGGTGGTTTGGCTCCAGTTCCAAGGTATGCCATGAGAATCCTGCGCGATCCAGTTCTGGCCAGAGCCACCTACCTGTGGCCCTACAAGCCGGTCACCGGCAATGTGAGGAAGCTGATGTCCGAGACTGTGCCGCTGAAGGCGGACACAGTTCAACCTTCCTCTGCTTGATTTTACAGGAAAGAGCCATCGGTTGCTTGGGGTTGATGAATATGGTGAGTTCAGCTCTAGTAAGGGTCACAGTCCGGGAGACCACAAGTATTTCCTATTGTGAGTGCAAGCCCTTTGCCCCAGAACAACGCATGTCGTTGTGTTTGTTTGTTTATCAGCTACCTGTTCTTGAGCGCTTTGAAAAGGGAAGTGTTTCGCGTCCCAAATAAATTTGCCAGTAGGTATAGATCCAAATCAGCCTGAAGATAGCTGTTTTCCGACGGCTGCCCGCTTGGCACCAAACATGAATTATGTGAGTATGCACGAGTTGGTCTGGGTGGACGTCTTCAACGCTTGTTAGAGGCAGCCTGCAATATGCTCACATATGGTGGCGATTAGAGCTTCAAGCGCGACATGTTGATAAACGGCATGTGGGTCAGGGAAGCCCTTGGAATTTGTTCCCTGGAAGCCCCCTCAAGTATCCTTGCGCGCGCACACCAGAACACGCCCATCGAAGGAATAGCTGCACTATAAATGTGTGGTGCTACCGTGGATCGTGGCGTATCTCTTGTTGTTGAATCCTGTCCATTGTTGAACAAACTAACGTTGAGTTCTGGGATCTATTTTGATTTTGTTGACATTCTAAGTTGACCAATCATGGGCCAGAATCAAGCATGTGAATCAATCAAGCATTCTGTCCTCCTGTGTTTTAGAAACAGCTGGTTTGGCCCCGGCTTGACGATGCGTTGCTTGGATTCGGCTACAGATGGCCTGTTTAAGACACGATAGATAGCACTGGTTTCAGCTTGGATCGAATCATGTACCATTGCCGTCTTATGTTTCCAAAAGAACGCGTACGGATTTAGCTCGGACACAGCGTGTGCGGTTGTCTCGCCTGTGGTAAGAATGAAGAGATAGATCTGACCAAACGGTAGTGCCCGTGCAAAATGAGGGTGAAACCGCTGAAGACGCGGGCGGGATCATTATTTGTTTTGTGTATCCCGGCAGTTCCAGCATGGTCTGTTGATTCATTACCCGCTCGAAGAACCCTTCGCTCAATGCTAGTGTGACACGGTGTGTGAGTGTGTGCGCTTTCTCAGGCTACCTTGGCTGGAGTTCTTTGAAAAGGAAACCATAGACTAGTAGTGCCATTTTATCCTTTTTTGGGGGAGGCTTCCCCTACTAAATTAGGCTACAGAAAAAAGTTGGTACCCTTATTCTAACCTCTCTACTGGAGGACCTAGTACAGGAAACCACAAACCACGTCTTGGAGGTCCCACTATTTTGACCAAGCCATATTGCACAGGCGGCCTTCCTGAACTCGTGCTCCAAGATCACGCTCTCGCTGGCAACCTGCCAGTTCCCGTGTCTGCCATGTTACCGAGATCCTAACGGAAAGCGTTGCGTCGAAAAGAGCGGAGAGTGCTGCTGTGCAACGGTGGCCTTGAGCCTTCACGCGTAACACTTCCAAAGGTTTCACGCCTTGGAAGTGTGCGATTTTCTTGGTGGCTCCCAGCCATCCGGTTCCTTAGCCTTTTAGCTTTTTGGCGTTTTGGTGGGGGTTTCCATTTAGCCCACTAAAAGTTAAACTTTTAGCGGGGGATCTGAAAACAGCTCAGTCTTGTGCGTTGTTTCGGCGGCCGGGTGACCGTTGAAATTGCATTTGAGTCAGGAGCTCGACGCGAACCCGGCTTGATTCGGTTCTTTGCGGTGTTAGCTGGTGGCAGGGCGCAACAGAGAACGGGTGCCAGCTTTGGAACCTCCGTTGCGCATGCCCTGTCTTCTTTTCTCACACGCTTGAAGGGCAGGATGATTCGCCAAGACGCATGTGGACAATTGCCAGTCTTCCGTGACCCAAGTTGGACTCATGTTTCAATTGACCAAGTGGTCTTGGGATTGGCCTGGTCCACATCCGTATCATTCCGCAAATGTCCAGTACCGGCCATGGACTTCTCCTCGCTTAGGTGCCGCTCAACCAGAAGCGATTGCAGATGGCCATGAGGCGAGGGATGAATTGGTTTCTCGCGCTTCCACTTGGTTTCTCGCGCTCACCGGGGGTTTCTTGGACAACTAGGTCCCCCGCCCAGGTGCCCTGTTACCCATTTTTGGTTACTCAAATGGACTACAGAAAAAGGGTGCCCTTTTCTCTCCTCTCTACTGGAGGACCTAGACAAGGTCTTGGAATGAGGGGGTTATGTGGCAGGGGGATCTCACAGTGGTATCACAGAAGTGCAATTCCCAAAGCCTTCTCTTTTATGTCCCTGGACTGGTTTGCAGTTTAGGAAGACCAGATTAAAACCTTTAACTTGCCTCACCAATCGGAAGTGAGTGGTTGAGAGAAGTTTTGTTTTGTCCCTGGATGAACGTGTGGGAAGATGGCTTGCCACAAGCTCGGAAGGACACCCTCCTGACTCATGATGGGGTATGTTCATGTTAAATTTCATTTGAACCCCAAGAGGTAGGGGGATCGTTTGAGTTGGCTGGTTTCTCTCATGTCATGTCCGTCTGAAGCATGCAGAAGTAAGGTGTCCAAGTTAAGCATCTTGCCAGAGGCACTGCGAATATGGTTGACTTCGGAGGAATCCGGACCCCACTAGTCAGAGGAAGCCCCTAGATCATTTCCTGACTGAAAGGTGAGCCATCCCTGATTAGGACTGTCCTCCAAGTTAATCCGAGGTTAACACAAGGGGGAATGCAAACACGCAAGCACACAACACCACCAGAGACACGGACACTGACACTGACACAGATACACACACACAGCGGACGGATCCAGATGACGGACGGGAACTGTTGGCGTGGCCAGGCACCAAGTGCCCATCCGCTTCCGGCAGTTCCAAAGTACCACCAGCGCCTTGAAATTTGGGGGGCGATGGGGCACCATGCTGTTGGTAAGTTGAAGTAAGACTCTGCCGGTTTTGCGAATCCCAAATCGGTTTGTTGGCCTTTGGCTAAGCTTGGGGAGTTAAACAAAAAGCAAAATTCAACCTCCCTAGGTCGAAATGGGTCTGTCTCCGGCACGCTTTTCCCCCTTTTCAAGGCGACAATGAGAATGACAGAGTCCAAAAGGGGGCCTTTGTGAGGCTTGGGTTGGGTTGTTCCTGTCTCTCCAAGCTTCGAGTTGTTTTTTTCTTCACCCCATACACGCTAATTCATATAGGGACGCCCCCAAGTGGTTTTGCCCGACACAGTTGAGGTCGACAAGCTTGGCTCGACCCCTCCAAACGGGCTCCATGACCGCGTCACCAATGAGGGTGCGAGATGGTCCCCCTAGGTGGCCTGTTGGCATGCTGTCGGCTTGGTTTTAAGCATTGGCAAGTGTTATCTATTTGTCCAAAAGAGCCCCCATGCATTCAATATATTTTGGGTACGTTTGCAGTGGAAGTGGGGAGGCCATCCTGTTCTTTGTTTACAAGGCTTATAATTGGCAATGAAGTACACCAGAGCAATGGCTGATGTTTGGTTTGGACGTGGAACCAAGTGAAAATGAGCCATCGACTTGACTGTTTTCACAATTTCCTTTAGACTGGGCCGTTTCAGACGGATATGATGTCATAAGCCGCAAGGAACAATGAGTGGTTCCTGTGAAAGGGGCAATCATGCCGGCTTTGTCGGCTTTCCCTGCTTAGTGTAGGTGGGCATATTCGCCGCAGGAAACTAGTGAAGCACTCCGAATTCCTGGAGCGGACTCAGCAAGCAGCACCTCACATAGTGCTGAGTGAAGGGCGCTGTTGCCTTGCCAAGGCGATAGAAAGGTTGCCGAGAGATTCCAGAAGCGCGAGGACAGCGAGAGGGGGAAGCAGGTGAGACCCATCAACCCATCTAGGATGTTGGACATGTCCAGTACCCTGAACAAGCCTTTGCAGGGGCCGCAGCAACAAGGTGCGGCTTGGAAGCTCGGTGCTGACGCTTTAGAAATGAGTTGCCATTCCAGATGGAAGGAATAATACATGCTTTGATTTTGAGGACGAAAACCTCGATCAAGAAGGCTCATTGTTTCCAATACCTGTCTTGTTGCGGCTGAATCGCAGGTTGGCGAGGCGGGTGTTTGCCGAATGCTTGGAAACGATTGTAGAAGCTTGTGAGATGCAGTTATGGTTTCTGTACGGTCTTCGAGTAAACAGATTCCAAAGGAGCTTGACCGGCGCACAATGACATGATGCCTATCCCAAGTGTACTGTCCAAATGCATTCTCCTTTGTTTTTTCCATCAACTCGTGCGAATTTGTCTCCACTGGGTTCCTTTTTCTTTCTCCTTGCGAATCAGCTTTTACAGGGTGGCGCACTCATGTGATTCACAGTCCTTCGACTCAAGAAACAGATTTGGGCAATTTGGCCCCATGTCGTCTAAAGGACCTCCGCCTCAGCTAGGCCTAAACAACTTCTGGGTCCACCTGTCAATCGAGAAGTTCCGGTCCTGTGGCAGGTGAGTACAGCGTTATACCGTTATACCCTTAGACCCTCTGCTTGGCAGCAGTCAGGTTCGGGTTTCGGGTTTCTGGGGAAGCTGCAGGCTCTGGTTTAGCTGGCCGGCTTGGGAAAATCAACGAGCAAACCAGCAAATATGAGGTTTCCAACACCGGCCAATGGAATGTGCTTCGGTACTTGAGTGCCTTGCTCGTGTCGAGTACCCCGCTCGCAGCTTCGACGGCAGGCCCGTACTTGTATAGGTAAGAGTGGATATCCAGTGACAAGCCAAGAGCAAGAGAGCGTTAGGCACGGTTTTGGCAATGGCAGCATGCTTATGTGGGCGGCAAAGAATCAAGCTCATGTCACCCGTTTGGTGCCATCTCAGTAGTTTCAGGTTTCGATTATTCTTCTTTTTGCGGAAAACACGCCCAGGCCCAGAACGCTACCTTTACGACAGTTTACGTTTGGATGTGCGAGCCGAAAACGAGCCGAGCCCTTGGTGTCCACGGGCTTTTCAGCTTCCGCAACGCGCCATGCCGATGGAGTGCTGCTCAGTCCTTCCCAGGAAGGAGAATCCGAGCCTGGAGCCTTTTTGGGAACCTCTCAGCACCTGCCGCTGACAAAACGGGGGGGCGCTTTCGTTTTCCACTTACTTCTGGAATCCCCCTTAGGGAAGGCTTGCTCGGAGGTCTGGGGGTTTTCTAGAGTTCCTTAGGGAGTGTAGGGAACCCGCCTGCTTGGACCACCCCTTTTGGGATTCCAGAACTTACCAAAAAGTCCGGACGGCATCCATGACCCACGTAAGCACAATGTCTGATTGAGGTTTCTTCGGCAACCAAATCCATTTCTTCTATGAGCCCTGGCCGACCCCCCCAAGGTGTCTCCCCTGCCATGGTTTCAGGTTTTCCCATGGTTTTTTGTTTGCCGGTCTTCCCATGGTTTCCCCAAGGTTCCCCATGGTCTCCCCACCCGCCACATTGACATGACATGTTGTTTTTCTTCAGGCAGCCTTCGGCTGCTTGCCAATCCCAAGGCATGCGGGAGGAGATGAAGAACCTACAAAACTCCATGGAGCAGTACTTCAACCGACAGGAACTGCTGCTGCAGGCGCCTAGGCTCACGCTCTTTTCCTCTTTTTTTTTTTTGGGGGGGGGGGAGGGTTGGGTTATTATTTGTTGGTTTTGTTCTTTCCGTCCATTTGCTGAACTTCTTGTTGTTTGCGTCCTGTTGCTGAATTTGCAGATGTTTCTGTGTTTGTGTTTTGTTTTGTATTTTTTTTGTGTGTGTGTGCGCGTGTGTTTGATTAGTTTTTTGTTTTTTTTTAGTTTGGTTCAGTGTTGTTTTGTTTTTTTTGGTCGGGTGCGGTCATGACTGGACAATATGTGGCTTGATATTTGCTGATTGCATGGTTTTGTCCAGTTCAATGGATTCCACGCTTGCTCAATGCCTTCTATGATCGTAGGAATCAACCCAAAAACGGGGTCCATTTCTTCGTCTACCAGGATCACTGGGCAACTGTAGTCTTTTCATCTCGATTTGAAATGGAACCGACCATGACCTGTAAATATATCAGGTGTTTGGTGATACCTCAAGCAATCGGAGGTTTCAAGACGCAGTTGGAGCTACACAGACAAGGGTGCCTACCAAGTCATGCAGGTTGAGACTCATTTTCCGAAGGATATGAGGTTTAGTTTAGTACATTGTACGCCCCTTGTCGATAGAGGGACAAGACAGATGTATTCGGAATTCTAATTGGCAGGTTCACTGGAGGAGTGATCCAGTCGCTCAAACATTCCAACAATCAAGCTGGGTGGCTTTCCGGGCCTTCCCCCGGAAGTCCAAAGGTAACCTTTGCCAGCGTGTGTGGAGACGATAGCGGCTTGCGAGTAGAAGTTAGAGCAGGGTTTTCAGCTTCACTAAAGCTTGGTGTTCACTACCCCACAACCCACAATCCCGACTGTTTGGGGGAAGTGAGGCCTCTAGTCCTTGCAGAATGGATATGACTCCTTTCTTTTTTGCAAACCCTCATGTCTTTTGCGGGGTGTGTTTTCGGGATCATGAAACAGGTCTTAGCTGAGCATGACCAAATAGCCATTCCACATTCTAGGCAATTTTGCAAATTCTCGGCAATCTGGCGTATCTTCAAGCATTTCTCACTTGCCTTCTTCCACAAAACCAAGCAACGCATGTCCTTGCTCGCCTTTTCTTTGTGTGCAAGTGTGGCCGTTGAACTCCAAGCAACGCACGGGGCAGAAATTGCCTGAGTTCTGCTCCTTCATCCCACCTCGAGAGTGCCGAGGGTCCGAATGTTGGTGTGGCAGCGGAAAGACCCGGCCTCACTGACCATCCCCACTTCGCTCGACAATGTCCCAGGTTCATAAGTCCCATCAGGAGCAAATCCCGTGTGCGCATCCATGCAGGACCCTCACCCCTCAGCCTGTCTCGGGCAGTGTTTTTTGTCCAATGCACATCAACCGATTAACTTGAACCGATTCCCATTCCCTACTGGATGTGTCTCAGCCGAAATCCATTCAGAAATCCTGTAACTGGTGATACAAGCTGTGCGTCTTAATTTGTTGAAGCACATGCAAGTCATAAACCTGTGTATAGTATATGATACCTCTACATTACATGAAACTGTGCACACATATGCAGATTTCGTTTGTAAAAACTATCCACACAATTAACTTGGTTTCCCTTGGGTGTGCGCGGTTCCCAACTCGGTTTCCGTTTGCATAGCGTCCGTGGCTTACGGAAGGAACTTCCATGGTGGGGTCCCCGAGGACTTGAGCGCGCAAATTCGGAGCTCCGTGGACCGAAGCAAGGAGCGGCGCGGGTTCCGAGTTCCGAGTCGGCGCCGACCAAAGCCCCGCTTTGACATGCAAACAGAGAGGACCAGCCAATGGCTGGCAAATGGTCTCTGGAATGACCTCATGGCTGTTTTGGGGTTATTAGGACCCCGCCTTTGGGGGGTCCTGGGGGTTGGGCTTTTGTTTGGGGTGGTGTGCGGGTTGTGCGAGGAACCCGGCGTTTGGCACAAATAGGAAAGTTCTCATTTTGTGTCTCGTTCAATTGCTGGCAGCAACCTTTTCAGGTTTGGTTAGACAACATCCTGTGATGTTCAAAGGCGGACATGCGTGGAACCTTGCAAGCAGCCAGCAGGGTCAAAACAAACCTCCAGGGTCGCCATCTCTACCTACCTGGATCTTCCAATTCATTTCAATTTAACGTAAACTCAGGAGACGAGAACTTGTTCAAGGGTCTCCGTGAAAAGACTGAGTTTTCAAACTCCTAGTTTTGAGGTAAAACTCCTAGAAATTGATTGTCACTTCTGGAAATTGGTTTGCACACCTGAAACCCCAAGATCTCGCCATTATTCGCTACTTGACGGAAGGAGCTCTCCAATTCAGAAGTCAGAATCAGAATCGTTCACATGAATCAGAATTCAGAACTATTCAGAATTCGGAATTCTCAGAATTTGCGCCTTTGGCTGACAAATTGGCAAATCCGGAAAAACAAGAGGAACAACACGCACCAACACACACACACACACATGAAACTCAGCGCAAAACACCCGCAAAAACCCGTAAACTCACGCAAAACCGGCAAACTCCCGCAAATCCGAAAAGACGGAGTTTAGTTTCCGGAGAGTGCATTTTTGGTAAAAGCAGTGGAATACCCACTCGAGTGCACAGAGTTGCATAATTGATGGGATAGCGTACAGAGTTGTACAATTGCGGGCCCAAACAACAGAAAAGAGAACAAGACTTGTTCAATTGTTTCCGCCAAGAACCACTCCTAAGTGTTGATTCCATGTTGATTCCACTACTGCCTTTTGGAAGCCACTGCTTTTTGATTCATGCATTTGAAACACCTGAACCTCCTAGTTTCCAAGGGTCTCCTGGAAATATCCCGGAGAACGAAAAAAACAGAGAAATAACCCGGAGACGGAGGACCCAGGTATGTTCTTTGCGTGGGGTTAATCCCCTCAAGCTGTTGTTCTAACCAATTGGTTTCCGTTTCGGGTTGAACCACGGGTTGGGTGATAAAAGGCGGGTGGCCTTCTACTAGTGAGTTTCATGTGATTAGCAAGGTTACAACCCACACACTTTTGTATCATTTGCGCTTCCAAGCCCTCTACCGTTTTACCCAACTTGCACTTCTTGTCACAAGACACATCGAAGGACTTGCCTTGGAGTGGTATTGGGATACAAAGTTACCCCTTCTCAGAATGACACTGCAGAGGAGATTGGGCTATTGAGATACAAAGATACCCTCGGAATGACCAGGGGCTCCCTTTTTTTTCACCCGAAAGAAGAACAAATCCACAGGGAAGGGTTGAAAAAAAGGGCTTGGAGGGTGAGCAAAAAGGGTTTCCCAATGACCAGTCCCAGGAGAACCGTTTCTTCCAGCCGCGGCCCACCTGCCGCACCAAGAACTTCGTCTCCTCAAGTGCCCGGTGGCCCGGGGACCGGTGCCCGGCGGAAACCCAGCTGGTGGCCAGGGAGGTGATTGAAACCAAGTGCAACACACGGGCGCCGTTGGTTATTTGGTTTGCCCAGGTGGGTCCCAGGTGTGGGTAGTATGTTTCCGGTCTGCAAGCTATTCATGAAGTTCATGACCTTTGCATTTTTGGGGCACGCGCGATTGTAGGACACTTGCCAGGTGTCGCCGGATCCTTTGTTCAGCTCGTTGGGTGGGTATTGCGCCAACCAAAAAGCGGAAGCCTTCGTTTCCAGTAAACAGAACCAATGCCCCAGTTGGCAGTTGCAATGTGGCCATCCGCTCGAGCCGTGCTCAGCTTAGACCGGCGCCCTTAGCTTTTGAAAGGAACAAGCCTATTTGTGTGTGAAGTGTGAGACAATGGTCACGGTGCACTTCTTACGGGCAAGAGCAGGGGGAATCGCTTGGGTGGCTTGGGTGGCTTGGGTGGCTTTACATTTTCAGGAGCCCCCGATCAAAGGCGCCGGCTGCGCGTTTTTTGGTCGCTCGGATGTCGCCGAGGCTCTCAACATCAACCGCGTCGAGACGGAGCGAGCCTCTCGAACCCAGGCCTTCCGACCGGGGGTTGCCTTAGGGCTATCAACATAGGCGGAAGCTTCCTTCACTGAAGCCTCGCAATGGTGTGGGATTTGGGGGGGCTTCAACAAAAGCGCTTCTCTTAAATTTTGCAGTCCTGCGGCACAGAGATTTGAGCGCCCCGTTTGGACGTGGCGAGTCCAGTTTCAGCTCAGTTGATATTGTCAGCTTGTGCTGGGTTGGTTTATCACCCCCAGAGATGGATCATGGTTTGGGGGCGTCCATGGATGTCAGTTCGCCATCCCATACCTTTGAGTCGTTGCCTGACATGCGTTTAAAAAACCACCAGGCCCTTGGCCTCTTGAAAAACGGGGGGGACCAAGAGGAGGTTGCTCAAAAAAGAGTTGAAGCGCGTTCAACAAGGGCTTGGCCCAAGCCTGGGCAGCAAATGGTGCCGCTTCATGGGACATTTTTTCCTCCGCCACGTTGCTCCATGTGGCTCAGTGTGGTTTTTTTCGGCTTTTTTTTCGTGTTCCCCAGCCCCTTGTTCCGAGTTCCGGGGCCACGAAGGAGCTGGTGGGTCTTTCGTTTGTTTGAGCTTTGAGCTCTTGTGGGCTTCCAAGGCTAAAAATGGACCAGATGTCTGGGTAATTAGTAGGCTTCAGGTGGGGGTTGGGCAATCACCGTGTGAGCTTCTTTTCTGGGGCCCACAGTTTCTGAGTTTTTTTTGTTTTCTGGGGCCCACAGTTTCTGGTCGCATGTGGCAGGTGGCAAAGACCGCGGCACTGTCACCGATGAAGAAGTCAGGCCCATCTCTGGCATCCATGTTGAGGTTGTGTTCGCTCAGGTGCCACCCTCTTGATCACTTGGTAGGTTTTCATGAAGATGGTCAACCAAAAATAGGGTTCCATTTTCCTAGGGTCGCAGCTCAGTGCTTTGGGGGTATGTAGTCATGGGCTTCTTGAAAGGAGTCAAGCAGGGCAGGCGCAGTTGTAGATCCTTCCCGAGGCTCCACGTAACGTGCTCTAAGAAACTTGGTAACAAGCTCCTAGGGCAATCGAACTCACCTATGAACTACCTTATGGCCAGGTGAGATTACGCCCATTTGAAAGCTGCATGGGGGTTGCTCTGTTGCAGTGTCGGAGCGTGCGCAGATCCTTGCCTCCAATTTAGAAAAGCTTTGAGCTGGCGGCTTGTTGACACTCTAGCCTGGAGTTTTTGCCGCAACTCCGTCTTTGAGGATGCAGTGGCTGGTGTGAGCAACTGTCAGAGGCATGGTCCATATGAAGTATCTAACCCGTAAGAGGATGGATGCTGTTGGGTCCTTTCCCTGGCTGCTCTTTTTGCAGCCAGTACCTTTTGCACGGGACGCTGGCAGCAGGAATCTTCACTTTGGCCGTTCGCATGTCTGCTCCGCAGGTAGCCAGCTGGAGAAAGTGGTCAGCGAGCCCATGGAGAACAAGAGGCAAGGAAGCGAATGTCGACCCCGGAGTACTGACAAGGACCCAGCAGTCAAGGAGCCTATCTTAACTTTTCAAACAGGACCCTACTGGTACTGTTTTTTGATCAACTGGCGGTGTATGAGCTGGGTCGCAGTATGACGTGAGTTCTGGACCCCGGTGTGTCCCTTGAAGGAGTGGGCTTTAGACACACACTCAGGAAGTTGAAAAAGTGATTTTCATGCTCAGGCCGCACCGGCTTGAATGCCGTGGAAGTGATATTTTCTCGCTCCGCGCACCGGCCTCGCATGGCCGCCGTGAGGGATGGATGGATGGATTGGATTGGATTGGATTGGATTGGATTGGATTGGATTGGATTGGATTGGATTGGATGGGATGGGATGGGATTGGATGGGATGGATGGATGAATGGATGAAGGGAAAACGCAACAAATGGGAGCTCGTCCGTTAGTCGGTGTTTTCGGGCAGGTTGCAATCCTGGAGATGAGTTTTCATATCTGAGGAACAGATGTTCTTTTTTGCAGATGATGGGTTGTGGGTCAAAGCAGGTCCAAGGCATTTCCATGATTTGCTGGAGCAAGTTAAGACACACGGTGCCGCTAAGTGATGAATCTGCTGCATGCCTGGGGGGCCCGAGGGGGTTGTTCTTGTTAAGAGGGCAGGGACAAACAACTGGGGGGCCTGTCGAAATTGGGAAGCGGGGGACGAGTTGTTGCTTGTAAAGGGAGATCGCCCCCTTCAAAAGAAGAACATCCTTCCGGGTTTGTTCGTCCCAGCCCTTTGAAAAATAACTTTCCCACACACTTATTTATCCCAGACCTTTGCCCCTAGCTCCCCCCCCCTTCAAACAATTTTGACAAAGGGAAGCTACGGCACAGAAGATGTTCGAATTCAGTGAGCAAGAAGCACCCTCCTTCCTGTGTACGTCGTCTCAAAACAAGGGGGCCTCAAACATGGCTGGCGTTCCTTTGATGTCCCTTTAAATAATCCTCGAACAGTTTTGAAAGCACGGGCACCGCATGTTTGTTGCTCCTTCGCAGGCGCAGTGCTCGCATGAGCTTCGCGCGGACCTTCTTCACGGAACACATGATGAGGCGGGAGTGGTAAGTGTGGCAGGCCACCGATGCTCTTTTAAAAGGCTTGTCGGCTTGTCCATCACTCGTTTTGATTGCGACGTGCGTGGACATTTCCAGCCAAAACCTATTCACTGGTTGGGCGGGGAGGCAATAGCCGCCACCCAAATTTGCCGCATGGGGGAGACATCTTATGGGCCAGGGCCAATGCAGCAGCAGCCCAAGAGTTCTTCAACAGCCCGATGACCACGGCGGAATTGGGACTCCCGGCCAAGCATGTTGGTCGAGCAGCCGCTGCACGCAATCAATCTGCACAAACTGTATCGAGCTGGCCGATTCGAGGGAGGAACCAGCTCACCTATTAGAGTTGTTGCCAGGGGAATCCTGCTTTCCAGTTCGTGAATTCATGTGCCCAGAATCATGGCAGGTTGCAAGCAGGAGTGCTGGAGAGCTTTTGCAAGGTAAAGGTCCTTCAGGCCAGGTTTGTCAAGTCACATAAGGTTGACACGGTTGGGCAGCCGTGTGTTGACTTCTATTTGGGCAGGCTTTGGCAGTTGGGACAGTTTGTGTTTCTTTTTTCTCGCTGAAGCCAAGAAATGGGTGCCTGCAACCCCCCCCGAAGCCGATCAGAAGAGACGCATTGGTTTATGAATCTTGCGGACGACATGTTGACCCCATGTGGCGGGTCATGTCAAGATGGCGCGCAATTTGGCGCCGAAAGGGAGCTGCAGAGCAGCGTCTCAGTTGCTCTTGTTTGGTGGGTTTCCCAAGAACGGAATCAGCCAACCCAATAGGGTTACCTTTGTCTACCAGCGCAACTGGGTAGTGCCCAAGTGATCAGAATGGGAGTCTTGGGGTACTTCTTCGACTCATCACAGGAGCGACATGTTCGCAATTGTTTTGTCCCTGAGTTCTCCATTCAGGGCAGCTTTGGCCGAGTTACCCGAGTCACCCGAGGAGAGCCGTCCTTTTGCGGCCGAGTGCGTCGCTGCTCGCGGGCGATCGTGTCTGCGCCAATCACGGCGCACCTGGTCATGTTTTTGATCCTCTTGAATTTGGTCATGTCCCTTGGCCTCGGTCTGGGCATTTTGGAAATGCCTTCCCTGAAACGGGTCCCAAGCATTTCCCGAAAAAGGGGTGGCCTATGCCTTGCCATGGGCCTTGCGGGTCTTCCCCAAAATGGGCGCGAAGTTCCCCAAAAGGGGTACCCTCACCCGTGGGGTTCCGACGCTCGCTCTCCAGTTGTTTGAAGACTATGTGCCAATCAAGGCCCCGAGGCGGAGTTTGCGCCTTTTTTATCCACCTGGCAACATGACGACCCCTTCAAATACACGCCCCATGCCCCATGTAAGATCATTGGTTTAATTGGTTAGAAGGCAATGCCTTTTGAGTGGTTTCCCTTGAACCATCCAACAGCGATTCTGGAACCTTCTGGCACATCGTGAGAAGGGACTACCTCCTGCTACGGGTGGAGGAGAGCGAATGTGAATCCAGTTGCGAGCGTTCCTCCAGCTAGAAGCAAATTTCGCCACCCACCATGGTCAACCCAGACGCGGGTCTTGATTGCGGGGTCGACCGAGGCTCGGCGTGGAGGTGGATGTAGCAGCATCGCTGGGCGTAGACGATGTACCCGGCTATTTCGAGGTGATGAACGTCATTATCGCGGCCCGGCGATCAGTGTCCGAACCTGCTGCAGATAATTCCCACCTGACTAGTGATTGGACAAGTGTCCTCATGCTGTACATTGCACGATGTTGGATAATCTGGGAGCATTTGCCTTTAGATGTGTTTGTTAAGGTCATTTGTGAGTTGTCTCTTTTGGGTGATGTTACGGGCTAAAGATACGATTCCTCAATTAAACGGGCATGGTTCTCACATACCCCTGAGGGTGACTTATGCTTGCACCAACCAAGCGTGAGCTCTTGCTGCCTTGTCTTCAGTTTGGACTCTTTCATGGAACATCAACAATCATTGACTGTACGCTGCTTTGTGCGGTACTTGTCTTCTTGCCGGCTTGCTTGGGGGTTTGATAGTTCCTTCTTGTTTATTGCGTGCCTCATTGCCTGCCTGGCTGCCTTCTGCTCCTTGCTCGCATGCCTCTTTGCGGCCGTTCCGCGTTTTTTTTCCTTTTTGTTTTTTCTTCCGCTTGCTTGCACGCCTTTCCTCTTGCTTGACCATGTTCCTTGCTAGCCTGTGTGCTTCCTCGTGGCTGGCAGGCGAGATTTGCTTGCATGGCTTGGCTTGGCTTGGCTTGGCTGTCTGGCTGGCTTGCTTGCTTGTGTTGTGAGATGGTATGCTTATGTTTTATGTACTTGTGGTGTTCATTTTGTTTCATGCATGTTCAACCCAGAACCTCAAGTTCATGCTTTCCCGATGTTCCAGCATGTATGTGCCTATGAAGTTCTTAGACAGGCGAGCTGGGGCAGCATAGTTGAACAGCAAACAGTGCCACTGGATGTTCAGCCTCCTTCATGTTACATTTAACTTACTCTGGAACCCAACAACGTCATCCATCTTTCGAGGAACCGCCTGTTGGGGAAAGGATACCTTTGTTGAAAGCTTCCGCATTGTTTCGCGGGGGAGTAAACAGGTTGAGCATCCAAGTGAGGTGGTCGTGTTCGTCGCGGAGCTCATGCTGAACTTCATCGGGTTCGGCTTCCAACGATTCTTCTGCGGCCCAGACTGCTGGTGGAACTGTTTCGATTTCGCACCTTGGCTCGCTCGGCACACCGAGTGGTTTCCAGGGGGCTACGGTCAAGGGGACTTCACGTCGCGGTTCCCAGCCATATCCTCGGGGGACGTGTTTTTTGGTTGGTGTTTGTTTAAACGTTTGGAGAAACTGTGACATGTCCCACAAAAAGCCTAACTTTCAGCAAGGGTTCAAGGAACCACCAAGAGATGACTGGTTTTCCTTTCGGTTTTCGGCTCATATCAAGGATCAGCTTCCCACTATGCGGTCCTGGTCCGTTTACTCGGGTTAGGCCTCATCAACCACATAGAGTTCTTAGACCATGAAACTGGGCAGTTCCGAGGCAATTGATCTTTCCCTCGGGTAACTCAAGTCCCCCTTGTAGTGGCCAATTGAAACAGCCCAATCAAAGGGGTGCCTATTTTTGGGAAAGAGGCACAGCGTTCCTGGCTCGGAGTTTTTCACTTTGACGGTTCGACGCAGTCTGCGGGACTGCAGGACATAGCCCTGAGCGCCCCGTGGCCTTTTGAGTTTGGCCATCACTTCACTTGGTGGCTCCCGAAGGCCATCCGGTTCCTGAGCTTCTTAGCCTAGTGTTTAGTTGTAGGTTTTCCATTTAACCCACTAAAAGTTGTTCACTTGTGGCGGGGGATCTGAGGGCAGTTCAAGTTGGCCGATTCTCCATGCCGCTGGAGCAGTAGGCCAGCTTCCAGCTGGATGGCAAACAACTTGCCATTGACAGGAGAGTTCTCAAGATACGCAGCCTGGTTCATTGGACGGCTTCACCTCTTCGACGGGTCTCCACCAAGTCCCGTTTCAGGTCTTTGTGGTCAGGCAAGCAGCAACAACTCCTTGTTTTCTTTTACGGCTACCTTGGGGGTTTGTCATTTGTAGGGAAAACGAAGGGACTGCCACCTCTTGGGGGGTTCCTATTTACCTACTAGGTCCCCCAGTAGTGCCCTTTTACCCTTTTTTTGGTTGGGAGGGTTCCCCTACTAAAATAGACTGCAGATACAGTTGGTACCCTTGTTCTAACCTCTCTACTTACTGGAGGACCTAGCCTATGTACACGCATACCCAAGAGCCCGAAGCTGAGGCCATCATCGGGCTGTCCGTCTGCGAAACCGTGGTGCAGCTCTGGGCTCCAGGCCCGTTCGTCGAAGACGTCGAAGACTCGGAGGCCAAATTGGCTGTGGGTATGTCCTAAAAAAACACCAGGTGACCCCAGGTTTTAGTTCTTGATTCCATTTTCCAGGTTCCATCACCTATGTCTGACCCACTTCCATTTGCTTAAGTCCACTGGAAAAAACATAAAACATAGAGCCATGGCTAGATTCCCTTTACAACCAACATGGACAAATGAAAGCAATATTCTTAAGCAAACTGGAAGGATAGGGCACCTCAGGCTGGGCCTCTACAATGGGAAGCATTCGAAGCACAGCCACGTGTTTCTCATCTCATTCCGACTCATAATTGGGTATGGGTCAAAACTAAACCACCAGGGGAGCGCAGGTTTTAGACCATGTTTCCATTTACTAGGGTACGCTCCATTTGGCGGAGGGGGCCAGCTTTTTGAATCAGCCGTGGTTCGCTTGTTCCCACGTTTGTCGTCCATCATATTTAAGGCCTTTCGGACAAGACTCCGCAAATTCCCATGCCATCTGGGCAGTACCAAACCTGCACGGGCATGAATCGGTAGTGCGGCAGGGGGCTATGGGCGTGGCTCAAATGAAAGAGCCAAGGTTACGCAGGTTTTGTTTTTGGGTTCCATTTGCCAAGGTGCCATTTTGGCACCGCTTTTTTGAGCCAAGATTGTTTTAGTGGTCACACTCAGCTCACTTCAATGCTGAAGCTTGGCTCTCTTTGGCTCACCTGGGAAAATGAGAGCTTTCCCATTTGCTTTGCCTGGGCTTTTCTTTTTCCTCGCTCGAGACTCAATTTGTTGCTTCCTGAATTCATCCCTATGCCACATAGTTCCTGGTGATTCCCCTGATCGCGGTGGTGTCCCACAGATTGCAGAGGCAACTTTTGAGAGAGCTTCCTCTAGGTGATGTAGATTGGAGATCCAGCTGGATCCCTTGGCAACAAGAACTAATTAACGCCCCATATGGGGAGGTCAGATGTCACCGGGAATCCAATCTGCCTCTATGCTGGCGAGCTGGGGGAATGATGTATAATCAGCTTCAAATGCCATGTCATCAAAAGATTGGTTTCCTCTTGGTGTCCTTTTTACGCCGAGCCAATAGGTCTCTCAAGTTGAGGGCACTATTTATGAAGGCTCCCTCCACCCCTCCTTGCCCCCCCGGCCCCCATGAAATTGGGTAAAACTTGCAGATCCAGACCTTTAATCCACCCCCCTCCTCCCCCCCCGTCCGCCCCCCTCCCCCCCTGTCCTCCCTCCTTCTTCCCGTCCTCCCCCCAGCCAGAGCGAGGCCTGGTGGACGAGATGCGGTACATGCGGTTCCTGCGCCTGGCCCGGGCGCTGCGGGGCATGCGCGTGGTGAAGCTCCTGAGATACGCCGGGGCCCCGGGATCGATCGGGATCGGGTGAGGCAGACACCCGTTGCTGGTTGGACACCAGACGCCCCACGTGGAACCCCAACAAAGACCTGGGTGGTGCCCCAAATGGAGGCCTCTGCTCTAAAAATGAGAGTATTATTTGTTTTGGTTCTATTGTGGGCAAGGTTGGTCTGAAGGGGAGTAAGGGGGATGGGCGAAAGGTGGGAGATTGATCGGACGTCCAAGCGACGGGATGCAAATTGTCTCAGGTGCCTTCGTGGTGTCCAATAGTGTGTCCTAAAGTAAAGGTCCCGTGGAAATGGTTCGCTTCTTTGCGGTTCCTCATCAACCACCATCTAAAACGGGGTCCCCATTCTTAGAACACACCCGAATCCTGAGCCATACAAGGGGCTTTTGGTAGAGGTACTGTAGCAGTTGTAAGTTGTAGATGTTGAATGTCTTTGCCTGTGCGAGTGATTCAGATGCCAACACAGGCATCATGTTGGGACGAAGTGCCCCATGAGGCTGTGCTTGCATGGCAAATAGGATATTTAGCCGTGCCAAGCACGGCTTTGCAGTGGATCACTGAACTTTTCAACGGCGCAGTTGGTCCGGCGATGAGCTTTGTGGGATACTTTTGTGGCGTTTGCCTTGCAGGGCAACCAAAGCGGATTCAGTTCCCACATTTAGATTTCACTTCTCCTCCCACTTCAAGTGAAGACCCTTACCTGGACGTGGTGCTCAATTGTCCGTTGTAACTCACATTTGCTATTGCAATATGATATCATTAAGTTTGGCACGCATGCTCCACCGCGTCACTGCTTTACATGTTGCTTTATATACGTCGTAGGTTTTGAGAGAGCCAGCGCCATCCCGCAACGGGGCTTGTCTGTCAGCGGGTCAGCTGCTGCAAAACAGACGACCCCCTCAAATCAATGATTTCCCCCCACAAGGCCTTCCTTTCACACAACTGAGCACCACAAAACGGCCCCAACTCAATGGGATCCACCAGGTCAGTGCGCTGCGCACGCTGATCTTCTCCATCATCAGCACCACGGGCTCTCTGATGTGGACGCTGGTCCTGCTGATCCTGCTCTTCTACAGCTTTGGAGACGCATGGCTGAGACCCGAAATTGTCACCTAGGTCCCCCAGCTGGCTGGGTGCCGTTTCTTTTACCGTTTCTTTTTTGGGGGAGGGTTCCCCTACTAAAATTGACTACGGGAAAAAGGGCACCCTTATTCTCACCCCTCTACTGGAGGACCTAGTCACAAAGGATTCGTTTTGGATGGGCTCATTCAAGGTACCGCCTTGCGTGGCAAAAAGAACAAGCCGTCACTCGAGCCACACCCAAAACACCTTCAAGCGGGACAGTCCCAGCCATGGGTTCCCCCGCCTTTTTTGCGTGGCAATCAATCCATCACTCGAGCCACAACCAAAATACCTACCAGTCAACTCGCGGGAGTTGGGTCCAACTCGACTCTTGGTTTTGGGTGGACACCTTTGGGCTTTGGGGGGCCTCGAATTGATTCAGGTTTGCCTCGTCAGGTGATCCTCACCCAGATCGTCACGGACCACTGCCGCCAGGTCACCATCTTGCAAACCGGGGACAAGAACGCGGTGCCCACGTGCCCGGCGGAGCTGGAGAGGTTCTGGTCCTCCATCTCCGCGCCTCGGAGTCAGAGGCAAAAAAGCTCGGCGCCCCTGAGAAATTGGCGCTGGGGTGGGGGTTCCTGTGAAAACTCGGATGAGTTTCTTTCAGAGAGTTCGGGTTCATGCCCGAAAAGGCGGTTTGGGGGGTGGGGTGGGGCGGGGCGGGGCGGGGCGGGGCGGGGCGGGGCGGGGCGGGGTGGGGGTGGGGTGGGGCGGGGTGGGGGTGGGGTGGGGTGGGGTGTTGGGGGGGCTGTGCATGCATGTCCATGTGGGACAGGGAAGCTCTGACCGTAACCCCTGAACGAACCAAGGGCTCGACAATGGACCCAGCGCTGTGAGCCCAGTGTCTTTGTTTCCAGAGTCCAGTTTGCTGACACTTGACTAACCCATGGATATACGAGATTGGAACAGAGGCGGTGACCAGAATCCTTAGGAGTCACTTCTCTATGTTGTTCCAGGGATCCTTTCCAGAAAACCACGAAAACAACGGAGGACATGACAGGTGTTTGAAGGACGGTGCTCGACGAGGATTTGAGTCAACTCCTGGAGAATGGGAAATCCGACTGTTCATCACCCAGGAGAGCATGCTGACTCTCTACATGGCTATCTCTGGCGGTGTCAGCTGGATTGAGCCATTGCAGCCCTTGAGAGAGGCGGGGAGGCAGAATTCACTGGTCTTGGTCCTTTAGTGGCCCCAAAAGGATGATCCTTGACTTCCAGGAATGAGTTTAACAAGCATTCGAATTCTGTAAACAACTAGGTTCATTCGGGTGAGCGCTTCACTTTTACCTCCGTAATCGAGCGGATTTTCTTGCCTCAGGGATTCAGCGATAGGCGCCGTTTCTTGCAAATGTTTATTAATTCAAGAGACCACCGGCCGAAATGGGAACTGGATGTCACGAGTATTTGCAGCATGTTGATAATATAATGAAACCAGAAGGGCTGCCTCTGGCATGAAGCTGGTTTGCTGTCCAAACTGGCAACCAAGAAGTGACAGGTCCGGAGATGCCGGAAAAAAGCGCGCAGGGAGATGCGACCATTGCCCTGGTTTTGTGAAATGCGCAGAACGCGGTAAAAGCGCTGCTGAATAGGTGTCAATCCAGTACTTCGTAAGCTGCCAATGGCAGCAAGCTCACTCCAAACCATGCGACAACCCATGCAAGCGCAACCAGAGACACGTGTAAATCCGCGTGAACGCACCTTGTTTTCGGGATCAATTGCTTCAACTTGCGTACAATCGCTTGTGTTCAAGGGTTTAACACGAGAATGTTGTTTGAAGCCCGGCAACTCACAACAACTAATACTAGCCAGGGACTGGATTCCCGAGATTTGGTAATCCAGCGGCATCAGTATTGCGCCATGATTGCCCACCCACAGGGAACTGTCAATTTGCCCCACCTTGAAGCCTCTTTACTTGAAGGTTCAACTCACTTCAGAAAAAGGTTGCAACCATATAAGTGGGACAAGGGGTGATTGACAGAGAACAATGACTGCAATGTCTGGGTCAACGTTTGTTAGTTAGCATCCAACAGGTTTGCCCTTGGATATCACTAAGTAGCATGAATATATGGATTAAACACATTGTTGTCCGGTGTTCATAAGTACGTTTGCGCTTTCCTTTTTTTGACAATGTGAGTCACAATCAAAACCTGGATCTTGAAACTTGGGCAGGTGTGGATCTCCGCCCTTTTGGATCTGTGGTGACTTTCGGTAGACTCCTTTCAGTCAGTGATTGATGTTTTTGGCCTTACACACTCCCTTGGACATGAGTTTTGAGAAACGACTGGCAAACCTTGCCTATCGCAGGGAATGAGAAATGGAGTGACCATTATAAACCATCCAAGTGGTGGTTTCCCTAAAGGGGACTGGGTCCTGGGTTCATTCCCGCATTCCCTAGCCGAGAGACAGGTTCAGACTGGCCAGCCGAGAGTCGGCATCCCGATCTTCAGGTCTCCGAGCTCGCAGTGTTCTGCCTGCTCCTGTACGTGGTTCTGACCGTCTTCGCGGTGCTAAATGCCCTTCCTGGCGGGTTTGGAGCGCTGTTGCAATGAGCCCAAGTTGAGGGGAAGGCTCCGGACACCCCCCACGACCCCCAGAACGGTTCTGAGAAGCCTTACCAAGAAACCCGAACTGAGAATGGTCTGCAAGCCATTCATTTCTCGGGTTGTTGGGGGTACCCTTTGGCCCACTCTATCCAAACACCCGAGATTGATATGGTTGGTTGGACTCGCAGGCAATGGTGCATGTTTGAACGGAAACAGCATATCTCCGCTGCAGATAAAACGTATCAAGCCCCGCCAGGTGAAAGACATGCAACACAAACCTAGACAGTTTGTGTACGTAATGGTATTGTCTTTGTTTTGGTACCCCGTCTTGGGCTTTAGTAGAAAGGATTCCACAAGGAAACCAATCAGTTTGGGGGGGTTCCCTTATTTTGACGCCCATACAGCCTGAAACACGCAAGGTTGAAATGACTTGCCATGCGGCCGCATGAGTCAAGTGCTTGAAAGAAGAGCTGCGCTCGGAATGAGTTTGATTGCGGATGCATGACACTCATGACCTGAGCGGCGTTGCTTGGTCCCAAGGGGCATGCACTTGTGTGAGCTGAGCAAGAATCCCTTCTGTCATGTATTGAAAAGGCCTTGCAATAACACATGCCCGCGTAAGCTGAATAAGCTCGGGTAAGCATGTCGTTGCGAGTAAGCTGAGCGTACTCGAAACCCAATGCTTTGTATCACAGTGATGGCCATGTTGAGGCATACAAAGTGTACTTCGCGTACTACGCTTGTACTAAGAAGTTGCGATTTGCGAGCTGCAGCTTCCAAAGTGGACTTCGTGTACTGAGTCAACGCCCACCGAAACCAACGGAGATTCGCGTGGGACTCACTCAGCAACACGCGGCTTTGAATCTGAACTGGGGAGACTTTGGCAGACAGCAGCTGCATGATGTTGCATTGGATTTTTTGGCCGACCGGCCATTGTTTGAGGGTGTTCCCCACGTAATTAAATATAGACAATCACATTTACAACGACATGCAGTAAAGTACGTAGCCCTTCGGTGTTTAGTTTGCGTGTACCTCCACGGTCAAGGTGGTCCACGCCGTAGCGGCAACGCCCAGTCATGATGATGGCCATGCCCTACCGGGCCGGGCGACTTGTCTTTGCTGCAAGGTTTACCCTATCTGCAAAGGTTTGTGCTATGCCTTGACTAAATGTGGCTTGGGCCGCGACCGAGCGAACTTCATGCTTGTTACAGCAAACTCCGTCAATCCAAGCCCGCCTGCTTGCACAGTATTGACAACCAGCAGAAGCTGGCAGCTGGACGTGGTTCACCCTCGGTCGCATATTGCGAAAATATATAAAATGCGAGCTTCGTAGAAAGCAGAGTAACAGCCGGGTTTGAGCTGGCCGTCCTCACCCGTCTGAGGCCCCACATATACGCAGATGACAGAACGCTTGCGGCGCCAGATGCCAGATGCGCCAACCAGCATGAGTGCTGTTAGTGTGTGGGAAGCTTGCGCAGAAACTCTTTGACCGAGAGAGCAATCTGACCCGTCTTTGTTCCGCATTCTTTGTGGCCATCGGTGGGATCTTAGACTCATGGCCACAGCGCAAACTGTTGCCCCGCTACATTGGGAGGGAGCTACTTCCTGCCTTGGTGAGCTCGGTCTATCACTCGCGCTCATCGACAAATTCCACAGCAAGGAAGCATTGCAGGACAGACAGTTGGAGTGGTGCTCTACAACAAGTGGCGGGGTAGCGCTAGGCGTGATGCTCACTGCGCTTCCCAGACATGCAGCGTCAGCCCGTAGGGTGGCGCTGTACTCGGCGCATCGCATCGCCGTATTAACTCCCCGCTTATTATCGCTGAATGGCGCAAGGAAAGCCTGACAGTCACCCTTTCCATGCCACTTCACAGGCAGTCGTCTGCCCACATTGTCCCCCTGTCTTCCGACAGTACATCTTTGGTGGTGTACCCGGTCGGGGCACTCAGCACTGGTACATCGGTACCCTTGACTTGGCAAAAGCTTTTGATTATGCCTCTCCGGACGTTGCGCGTAGGATCATGCAGCACACTGGCATGGACCCGGCCTGTGCCAATCTACTCAGGTCAGTCTGGACACAACACCTGGTCAATGCTGGCTATGGCAATGATTCTCTTGCCACCAACATATGACCTCAACACCAGGTTCCCTGCCATCGCGCAGGTCATATACGCAGATGACAGAACACTTGTTGCGCCTGATGCGCCAACCCTCATGAGTGCTGTTAATGCATGGGAAGCTTGGACAGAAACTCTTGGGCTCCAAGAGAACCAGTAAAGCGCAGTTCTACCACCCCACCCAGGCGGGTAGAACCATTCTGCGGCAAAACGGAGTAAGCCCTAATAAAATCACTGAAAGTATCAGGGTCCTAGGATACAGCTTTGCCGGAGTCAAAGCCAGAAAGGCCGACGCGCGTGAATTTGAAACACTTCAGCAGGCCACCGTGAAGGCCGAAAAGTGTAAATGCCTGCCAGGTGGTTTAGCCCGCAGGATCAGGATCGCAGCAGCGGTCGTACCACCCAAAATGATTGCAGGCTGGCTTTTCAGGTTCCCTTCGCTCGAAAATGTCAAGCCTCTTAATGCAGCCATGAGAATCCCAGCAATCTGATCCATCTTTGTACCGCATTCTCCGTGGCCATCGATGGGATCTGCCCCACTTGTTATCGCCAGATGGCGCAAGGAAAGCCTGCCGACCGCGCGCATTGGTCGCATGTCACGTGGCAGTGCAGAAACGCAGACCGTGACTCCCGTCTGACAGAAAGAGACTGCTTCGACACCCTACAAAGGCGGCTCGGATGGCCCACTGGCCAGCATCATCGGCATTCGCTCGACATGAAGATCCTTGATTGGCTTGCCCAACGCAGGGAACGGATACTTGATCAGCAGCATCCACAAAGCGAGTAAACTGCTTGTTTACTCTTTGCACGTGAAACTTGACTTGCTTGTCTTGGGTGCGTGTGGCACAGCGGTGCAGCGCATCTTGGTGGGTGCAATGTGAAACTTGACACGCTTGTCTTGGGTGCGTGTGGCACAATGGCACAGCGCAACTTGATGGGTGCAACCCACTTGCTTCTGCAGCTGTGCCGGCATAGCGGCTGTTCAGTCCCACTTCGGTGAGTGGCTGCTGCCGAGATACTTGGCGCCGTGTTCGGCGGCAATCTTCCCTTGGATGCCCTGTTTGCGTCCAGGCTCACTGAGACTTTGGCTCGCCTTCGTGCCAAAGTTCCCTTGACTTGGACGCGGACGCCCGGCACCCCGGTGAAAGCGGTTGATTCATGGTTGATTAAGCGTGGTTGGCAGAGGCGTGCTCCTTTCTTGTGGTGGCATGACGTTGCCAAGGTTCGACTTGACTTGCGTGGGCATGGCCCGGTTGGTCGCTTTCAGCATATGGTGCGTGCTGGTTGGCGTGCTTGGTGCTTGTGTCAGCATGTTGCGAGTGACCGCAGAGATGCGGATGAGGTTGAGCTTGGCTTGTTCGATCGCATTGCGTTCGAGGACGCGAGGCGGTGGGCCCTTTCGTGCCCCGAAGCTAAGAACCATCGCTTGCGGGGCTTCTTGGAGCCCGGCCGCCTTGCAAGGTCGTATCGCGGAAAGGCCTAGTACTAGGTGCCTCTTCTGCGAGCAGGAGGGTTACTGGGACCACATTGCGTGGACCTGTGCTGAGCGGCCTTTGCCCCGGGTTCCTAGGCCGAATTCGGGGTGTTGCTGGCCTTGGTGTTGCGCGTGACTCGCTGATTTCGCTTCAGCATCGGCCTTGGTCGGTCTTTCACGGGCGCTCGGCCGAAGACGGCCAATAAGGTTGTGGCTTTGGTTGGCTGGTTGGGGGGGGGGGGGGGTAAGAGGGAAGATCATACCCTATGTGTCGTTCAGGCTGGCTCCAGCTTTGAGTGAATTGTTGAAGTGAAATTATAATGATTTTGCAATTATTGCAATTATTGGAATTGAATTCCAATAATTACAATAATTGCAATAATTTCAGGTCCTGGATTTTGCAATTATTGCAATTATTGGAATTGAATTCCAACAATTCCAATAATTGCAATAATTTCAGGTCCCGGATTTTGCAATTATTGCAATTATTGGAATTGAATTCCAATCATTGCAATAATTGCAATAATTTCAGGTCCCGGATTTTGCAATTATTGGAATTAGTCGGACCGGCTTTGAGGCCAAATCTGGGATCAATTAATTATTGCAATTATTGCAATTATTGCAATTATTGCAATTATTGGAATTGAATTCCAATAATTGCAATAATTGCAATAATTTCAGGTCCCGGATTTTGCAATTATTGCAATTATTGGAATTGAATTCAATAATTACAATAATTGCAATATTCGGAGGTCCCGGATTTTGCAATTATTGCAATTATTGGAATTGAATTCCAATAATTGCAATAATTGCAATAATTGGAGGTCTCGGATTTTGCAATTATTGCAATTATTGGAATTATTCGGCCCGGCTTTGAGGCCAAATCTGGGATCAATTAATTATTGCAATTATTGCAATTATTGCAATTATTGCAATTATTGGAATTGAATTCCAATAATTGCAATAATTGCAATATTCGGAGGTCCCGGATTTTGCAATTATTGCAATTATTGGAATTGAATTCCAATAATTGCAATAATTGCAATAATTTCAGGTCCCGGATTTTGCAATTATTGCAATTATTGGAATTGAATTCCAATAATTGCAATAATTGCAATAATTTCAGGTCCCGGATTTTGCAATTATTGCAATTATTGGAATTCAATTCCAATAATTGCAACAATTGCAATCATTTCAGGTCCCGGATTTTGCAATTATTCAATTATTGGAATTGAATTCCAATAATTGCAATAATTGCAATATTCGGAGGTCCCGGATTTTGCAATTATTGCAATTATTGGAATTATTTGGTTCGGCTTTGAGGCCAAATCTGGGATCAATTGCAATTATTGCAATTATTGCAATTATTGCAATTATTG